AATGCCTAAAAACTCAGCAAGATGTGGAGGGAAACTTGGCTGATGGATACTCTTACCACAGGCATTTGCTGAATGTTTGGAATATAATGGGAAGGGAGGAGAGTGAGCTGTGCTGCCCCACCAGAAATGTGATAGCAGTGCAGCCAGGGGCTGCAGATAAGATTAGACTGGAATGTCCAAAGTTATGAAGTGGCAGGAAAAAAGTTGGTAAACAGTGAGAATAAAACTCTTCATCATGAATTAGGCCTTGGGTTGCTAATGATTTCTTCCTTGAAAAATGTTCAGAAGCACCATGTTAGTAAAATTAGAATGATACTGGCAATTCTGTCCTGGACCTATGGAGAAGGCTCCTGGAGAGACACGTGCTCTTCAAGGGTTGGTCAGGACCTTCAGCAGAGTGTGGAACACATGGGTGCCATCACTCCTGAGATCCCACCAGCTCTGCTCATGTTCTTAGTGTCCCTCTCTGAAGCAGAGTTCCTCCTCTAATCCAATTATAGTAGGAAATGGGGAGGTAAGAGTGATGGAAAACTGGAACTGGTTTGAAGAGGGTCTTCTTGGTAGATGAACTTCTCAGGATAGTGCCTCAGATTGGCAGGTAATGCTTCCCAGACCATCTCATGGACCATCAGTGACCACCTGAGTGGCAGGGAGAGTAACACCTGACTTTTTGTCATCTGCAGAGTTGGATGGTTAGAGAATAAGTTAGTTTGGATATTTATATCTCTCCCACTTCTACTTCTGCACATAGTTATGTTCCTTCTCCAGCAGCTCCTTCTCTTGCAGGTGGCACAGAGGTTCAGCCTGAGCAGAACTTCTGTGTTTCCATTCTCCATCCATAAATGCTTTGCTCTGTGCATCCACAGATGCTTCGACCAAAGTAAGATTTTAAAATCTAAAAAAAACCCACAACCCTCAGCAAAGGACTTCTCATTTCTCTGTCATTTTTCAAGTTTTGTCAGGAACACACAGGCAAAAATGTAATAGTTTTAAGAACGTCCTCTTGGCTAAACAGAACCTGCCACCTTCCAGGTTAGTGGCAACACACTCTGGCTTTACTCACACCAGTATTTGCCCTTCAAAATGCAAATTTAAAAAAAGGGCTATGGAGATCATCTCTCTCACATTTTTTCTTCCCTGTCTTAATCACATAGAGAATTTGAAATGCAAGGTGAGCTGTGGGCTGCCCCAGCACCAGCTCATGCTTCTGGTGCTGCAGAGGTTTGCACAAGGTTTGTGTCTGGGCACTGAGCTGTGCATGACTGAGAGTGTCCCTGACTCAGTCGTCACTCTCTGGTGGAGACTGTGGTGTGGTTGCTGCTCCTCTCTTCTCACGGACTTCCTGGTGTCAGCACCAGAAACAGAACAGAAAGTGGGTGTTTTCTGCTTTCAGTGGTTCTGAATTTTCATGAATCATTTTATTGACATTGTGCCTGTGTTTTATTTACTTTTTGTTTCGACTAGAGACCAGGAAAATCAGCATCACCAGTGAGTTCTGCATCCTGCAGCAGTGTGGGCTGGTGAGATGGGGTTGGCTCAGGGGTCTGCTGGAGGCAGCACCCCCTGCCAGGATGGGGGTGGCCATCACCACCCCAACTCTGTGGAAACACGAGGCTGAAAACCATTTATCCCAGTTATTTGGGCAGTGAGTGCACAGCAATCGGTGCACAGGTGCTGAAGCTTGAGAGGAGAACAACTTCTTGGGCGTCTTACCAGAAGGAAGGGGCTGCGTGTGTTGCTTTTCCCCCTCCAAGAGCAGCATTCCCAGCTTCCCGCTGGCTGGAGGGAGGTTGGGCGGACGGAAGTAACTTGTGATGCCTGCCCTGGTGTTTCCCACTGCGTCCCGGGTGTGTTTCATCCCGGGCTTTGTTTCTGTCCCACAGAACGGGCTCCTGCAGGAGACGGTGCGCAGGGAGTGCGAGGAGCGCTGCCAGCTGACCGCGGCCCTGGCCCGGGCGCGGGACCAAGTGCTGGAACTCAAGAAGCTGAGCGGAAACTTCCCCTTCTCCTCCTGCTCCCTGGCTCGGGGCAGCTTCACCTCCCCGGCCGCCCTGCTCACCCGGCCCAGGAGCCGCCCGATCCCCGGCCGGGAGCTCCATCTGCCCGGCCCGCTGGGGATGCCAGGAGCGGGCAAGGCGGGCGCTGCCCCCGGGACGA